GACCTCGTCTTTGCAGTCAAGCTTAAGCGGATGGCGCGGGACGCGAAGAACGCAGAGCGTGCCAAGCGCATGGAGTGGCTGCTGCTGCAACGCATCGAGCCTGAGGCGCACGGGGCGGAACGGCGAGCTCTCAAGAAACGCAACACGCTCCTCGACACCCTGAGTTCTCCCAGTGTACTAGGAGCAAAGGGCATCGCTGCTAGGAGCAAGGACGCTACTTTGAAGGGAGAGGCACCACCCCGCATGACGCACGGCCGACTGTGCTTGTGACCGCTCAGCCCGTGCTGCTGAAAGCGGACCTTTGCGATGAGGAGAGGCAGGCACAAAATAAGGAGAGGTCCGCAGGGGCTGGGAGGCGCCAAACGCAAGGGCTGTTTAGGGTGCCATTGGCTGTGGCTGGGAGTGCGGCGGACACTTGTTCGAGCTCTTAGACTTGGGGCTGCCCAAATGTTCCGCATATGAATGGGAACAAGAAGCTACTAGTAGCAAAGGGCATCGCTACTAGGAGCAAGGATGCTACTAGGGGCTCCTGGCATCGCTACTAGTAACAAGCAGCTAGGAATCTTGCTCCTTGGCCCCATGATGGTCCCTCATGTGGCACATGACCTGCTTGGTCCAGGAAGAGTTGGACCACCGTGTGTGGGAGTTGTACGGCGGCGCAGACAAAGAGGAACACGTATACCGAGAATGGTGCCTTGGAATCGAAACAAAAGGAACAGCAGGACGCTACTAGGAGCAAAGGGCATCGCTACTAGGAGCAATAGGCATCGCTACTAGGGGCGCTCATGGCCTGACTACTAGGAACGAGAAGATACTAGTAGCAGAGACAAATTGGAAAACAACATACATAGCCAACCAGCCTGTTTTGCATTCATCAGACGGGGCAAAAACGCATAGGAATCAACCGGGTTCATGGATTAGTTGCTAATCCGGTGCAACCATCTTGTTTGAGTAGCAGATGCTCAGCACGCAGTGGCATATGCAAAGGATTTGGTTGGTGTCAGGGGTTCTGCAGTTGGCCTTTTAGGCTCTAATAATCTAATCGGCCTTAATGCGTTGGAGTTTCACGCAAGTGCACTTGGTGGATTTGTCATATCCACAACGACCAATTGTCAAGCATCCTCCTTTCAACGGCAGAAACAGCACAAAGACCCAATTATTAGGTTGGAAGTTAGAAGCTATTAGGTTGGAGGCCATTGCTACTAGGGTGGAGGCCATCGCTATTCTGTTGGAGGCCATCGCTTCACTAGGTTGTATGCGACTTAACAGCCCTTTTGGTGTTCCTTTTGCCATCAGCTACTCGGTCAGGTTTTGTTTAGATCGATCAAGGCCCTCCATACTCCATAGGACCGGCTAGCTTTGGCACCCTGTGAACTTGCCTGTGCACAATAGCATTGCGAATAGCATACAACATATTAGATGTTGTTTGATGCCTTTAAAGGCTGAGCATTCCTGTTGGAGACTCCAAATTTATCCTATACTGAGCTCAGTATATTATGTTCCACACTGGTGGCATGATCCATAACCTCCAGAACTTTCTGTGGTGAGTGTTTTTCCCATTTTTGCATGCAGCTGCGCTGCTGTGGTTTCTCTTTAGTTGGCTTTAGCTAGTCCACAGGCCCATGAATCTGGTGAATACAATAGGGCACAAGCACTTGCTGAGAGACAGGTTCCCACAAGCTGCCTGTGTTCCATCGGACCGATTTCTGAGCGAGCATGCTAGCACCCCTCTACCAAGACCGCCGTACACGTTTAACACACCAAGCAAGTACTCCTTATAGGGGGCAACTTGCTCTACACCCCCTTGATCCTACATGCAGAGTGGAGCGGCACTTAGTGCTGGTTTGTATCTAATTGCTGAACCGAGCTTCCAACAGCACTGACAAAAGCTGGGGCAGTTCAGAACAACACATCATTTACGCCTCGGCAAAAGTGCTAATCGGTTGGTGCTTCCGAGTGTGCGGGGTGGCCCTCCATGAGAGGGCTCCGTGTACAACGTCGGATTCACGTTAGCCTTGTGAGGGCCATGGGCAAGCTGGTTGCACTCTGTGTATTTTTAACGATTTTTGAATTTTTAATTCGGTTTTAGACCTTTTTTGCGTTGTTTTTTTTCCTTTGCATTGCTCGTTGCACCTGACCTACTCGCTTTCGACTTCGCCTGTTCCACAGCCTCGTCACCTCGAGCGCCAGTGGTTTGGGGCCATTCAGGCACCTGTTCAGTTCACTCATTGTCACGAGTGCAGTATGTCATGAGCCTGCCCACTTTGCAGCTTTTGTGGGGGATGCGCGAATACCGCGCGGTCCAAGGCGTCTTTGGGTGCCCTGACTCGCCCACATCGCTCGTGCCCAGCCTACTCACCCTCTTTCTTTTTTCCTTTAGATTTGTTTCCTTTAGACCTTGACCATCTTTTTCGCTCTTTTCTGTCATTTCTTTAGACATATTATGACATATTTATTTCTTTTCTTATTGTTCTTTTTAGACTCTAGACCTTTAGAATCCTTTAGACCTTTTCTTATTTTTTTCGCCTTTTTGGTGGTATACTTTTCTTTCTAGACATCTGCCCTGTCACACAGGTCGCGGCCATTCGCGGCCGTCCGATTTGGTGTTTCCCCACCTTCGAGCAATGGTTTGGACAAGTTGCTTCACTCCCCCACTGCCAGGCCATTGCTAGCAACAATGTTTGCTAGTAGTAACAAGTGCATCGCTAGTAGTAACAGGTGCCTTACTAGTAGGAGCAAGAAGCTACTAGGAACAAGTGCCATTGCTATTTGTGGTTTGCTATATTCTGTTTTCCCCTTTTTCGTCCGAGGCGCCGCCAGATCACAGAGCGCCGGAAGAGCTGCCTATTGCGCCGTGCGACTGCCCGATGGTTCCGTCCAGCTGACGCTCGGCGGAAAGCGCTGTGGGACCTGTTTGAAACGATGTCGGTCGGTTTGAAGCTGTGGTTACCTCGCACAGGTCTTGAGCCAAACGTCGAAATCTTTGTGTCGTTTTGTACACTTCATCGTGGCCTTTTGGCCCTTGGGACGTCGCGGGATCGCCTTTCTGGTCTCGACGCTTCCCCCGTGCTTCTTAACCTCGTCAATAGCCCTGCAGCGTCAACCCTCCTCACATAGCAAAACCTCCCGAAGCCGACCCTGAGAGCAAGGTCCCCGAAACCGTGCCCTGCAGGATCTCCTGAAAGAAGGAATAGCCCACCCAGGAATCTTCACCACTCATCACCGGTGCCGGCATGCTCCGCCAGTCATCTTCGCGGATCATTTTTCCCCCATGATGGCTCCAAATCACCGTCGTCCGTTGGCTCTTTTTGGGGGTGTCTTTTTGTGGGTGGGATGGAATGGTCGTTTCCGTGGTTTGACATGATGCCGCACCCACCAACCATCCACCAATCGCCCCCGCCGGTCTTGGCCTTGAGAAGGAAGTGAAAACGTTCTCCACGTCCAAGGAGGTCCCTGGCCAGGCGCTGGCCCGAAGCCTTCATGGCCGCAATCCTCAGCCTCTTCCCACCATGGCGCACATCGACCGCGTAATCGGGGAGCCCTCAGGGCCAGGGCTGGGTTCGAAAACAGGCTCATCCTCTGAGGGTGACAGATGCATGAATTGCGGGGTTCATCTTCCCTCACCCGGTTTTGATGTCCATACGGTGGACCTGCATGCTCCGTTCTTGGCTTTCCAGCCACTGCCATGCCCTGTGCCGCCCTACCTGCCGCACCCGAAGGCTGCCATGTCAAAACCCCGGCAACCCTCCTACCAAAGCAGCGATCCCAACTTTGGACCCTCACGGAAGTGCCATCGAGCGGCACTCCAACCGGCTTCATCTGAAAGTCCACCAAGTGCTGGCCGGGATATGCACCACTCCAGGCCCCCCCCAACTTGACTCTTTCTCGGTCTCGTCCACAGGCCATCAGGCGCGTCGATCCTCAACCCAGTCCAAAGTCCAAAGCTCGGGGACGTAGTTCACCTGGTTGCGAAGCGCGGTCCTCGGGCAGGCTGCCCTCGTGTATCACGTGGTGGCGTTCCCATCACAGCTCCTGGCGTCCCTTGCCCTTCAAATAGTCCCCCAGCAATTCCGTTCAGGGTTTTCGAGAAGTGGTCCAAGTAGTCACTAAGTAGTCCATCGGGCACCTTGAAGGAGAGCTCGAATGACTACCTCACTGCATCCTGGAGTGGTCCAACTCCCAAAACCTCCGCTCGTGGATTCTGAAGGACCTTCAGGACTCTCGCCATCCCCTGGCCTTATGTTCTCCTCCATGGACTCCAGCATGTAGTGCGCCTCCTGCCGCCGCCCGATCATGCCCTTGAGCTCCGCTACCTCCGCCGCAGCCCCCGCAGCCAGCCTCCTAATGCCAGCCTCTTCTCCGGCCGGCATCGAACTAGCTTGTTTGGACCTTCGCTCTTCCTTGATCAGGCGGTCCAGCTCTGGTCTGCGGTCTCCTCCGCTGGCTCCGCACGATCCACCCGTGGAAAAAACACGGCCCCGTTTGGGCTCATAACCAGTGGTTATATATGACCTCGCACAGGTCTTTTCGTCTTGAGCCAAACGTCGATTTGTGCGTCATCCGTTTTGGATTCCAGTACACTTCTTGATTGTGCATTTCGATAAGTCAAGAGGTGGGAGGCATGGTGACATGACCAACCAATCACAGAAGCAAATTGATTTAAAAATTCAGCAAAGAAGTCTTTTTTTATTGACACATGGTTGGCATTAAGGTTTCGGCTTCGTGAGGAGATTTTTTCCTCCTTTAGGCCAAGCCCTAGCGTCGCACCCGTGCATGGGCGGACGCGCAATCGAGTGGCTCTTGCTCTTTGCTTTGCTGCTTCTTTTTCTCGGTGGACACCATTGCCAAGGAACCGACTTGGCACCGCAATCTCCGACGCAGTAGGTCCACGGCTCGAAGGCGGCTCCGTCGAGGACTTGCCAGGTGGACGATACTGGACACACGTGCTGCAGATCTGCTCGAGAAGCATCACGGCAGCCAAATGCCTTCCCAATTGGCGGATGCCCAATGGAAGTGCGAATGTGGGAAAGTTCAGTCCAGCCGAGCTTCATGGTGCCAAGGGTGTGGGACACACTACTCATGCGTCCAGTGGGTGACTGTCCCAAACCGTACAAGGTCCAAGTCCAACAGGAAGAAGAAGGCGGCGAATGGAGAGGAGAGCAAAGAGAAGAACAAGGTGGCAAAGGTTGGGGGAGGATCTTCGACCCTGAGTCCCTTTGCAAACACACCACCCAAGAGTACGCCATGGAAAGATGCCACTCCCACGACCAGAGTCAAGCTAGAGACGACCACTGTGGAAGAGATCGACAAGGATGTTGCAACAGCTGCAACTTCTGCAGCTGCTGGTGGGCCTGGGACAGAGTCTACCAGCGCACCTCCTACCGATCAGTTCCGTGGCCGTTTGGAAGAGCTGTTGACGATCATGGGAGATGCCGCTCCAGAGGCACTCAAGTCAGAGGTCCAAAAGTTCCTCAGTCCGATGGCAGGCAAGGACAAGATCAAGCACCAGCAGATCACCAAGATCGACAAGCTGGAGCGCCAGATTGCCAGCACACAGAAGGAGATCGAGGAGATGGACCAGAAGTGGCAAGAATTTGTGCAGTTGATGCGCAGCAAGATGGAGCGTCAGAAGCAGGCATATGTCCATCAGCGGGAAGAGAAGATCCAAGCGCTGGAGGGCAAGACTGTGATGCTAGCCAAGTTACAAGAAGAGATTCGCAAGGCAGCCGAGGCTCAGCCAGAGGTGGTCAAACCGAAATCCATGGAGGCTGTGGCTATGGAAGTCGAGGAGGCCGAAAGCTTGCTCAAGGCTGGAATGGAGGAGATCAAGAAGAGAGATGCACTGCTTCCGTTTGGGAACCCACGTGGAGCCAAGGTGCCCAAGCTCTCTGCGACGGAGGCGCCTCTGCCAGCCGATATGGAAGAGCAGCTGTGACCTTCTGGCTGTCTTGGAATGCTAGGATTGGGCAGATCTTCGAGGTTGTTGAGAACAGCGGAAAGAATGGGCTTTTTAGTCGCTGCTTGGACAGTAGGCGACTCGGAGCTTTGTCTTTGGTGTTTTTACTGTTTGGGGTGGTCACTACCCTAACCAACATGCTCTTTGAGGGGTATAGAGCTTGTTTGGTTCCCCTAAGTGCGCCTTTTTTGGCTGCATGGGGCTGGGGGTGTTCCATCTCTTTTCCAGTGATGACATCCGTGACAGTGCCACGAAGTGCTGTTTGGACAACCTGCAGAAGGAGAAGGTTGGGATGGACACTGGCCCCTTGGTGGATTCTTTTCCTTTGCTTGGGAGCTGGAGCACATTCGGATGAGGCAGGAGGTGATGGATTTGTTGGAGCAGACCTATCAGTGGGGAATATCTCTGGTGGGCACCTTTGTGAAGAGGCTGATGGCCGTTTCGAGGAGCTGATGGGTGAGAATGATGTTGTGACCTTGGTTCAACAGCCTTGGGCGGCTGTGGGCTCATTCTCATGCTTCCTCTGACTCTTTGGTGCCGAATTTGCAGAGTCCCAATTTTGCTGGGCGTTGTATTCAAACGTTTTTTTCCATCATCACCTTGACGCCAACCAATTCATGCAGAAAAGGGGAACCATGAGACGAAAGGCATGCTTGGTTTGCCAGCTGAGAAGTGCCTTTGAGGATGCCAGTGAAGGATATCCCATTCAGTTGATCCCTGTGCATGAAGCTGGGGGGATTACTGGGGAGATCTACATGGTCACGACGGAGGGATCCTTTCCGGGACATCTATTCCTTGTGGATTTCTTTGTTGATGAGGTGCTTGATGCTCGAGGTACTGTGTTGTTTCGAGAAGGTTGGGACCCCTTTACTACTGAGCGCTTTTTTGAGCTACTTTCACCTGCAAACCAATGTGCGAGTTCGGCAATTTGTTTTGTTGAGCTGGCACAGGAAAGATGGACGTGGCCACATCCTTTTCAGGCACCATCTGGCAGCCGTTTGAGGATGGTGGAAATACCAGAGCGGGGGGATGAGAATGAACCCTCAGATTGCAGCACCTGGCTCTCCACTGGGAGCTCTACTAGTTTTTCTAGTTGGCCTCTGAGAGGTCATGGGATGCCGAGCCGGGACCAGCGCGCCTAACACCTGGGCGCGGTGGCTCACACCCAGGGGCCTGGCCTGGCTCTCCGGAGGCATCTGACTTTGAGGATAGGCGAGACGAGCAGAAGGAGGGTCACGGTGATGAGGGGATCTTTACGCAGTTGAACATGGACTCTTCCCCACCCACTACGTTGCCTACCAGATCGCCGGAGGTGACTGCATCTCTTGCCAGTAGTGGACCGCCACCGGTAGACAGACCTCTGCATTATACTAACTTGGATGACAATGTGTGTGTGGTCAGAGGCTTTCTCTTGGACTATTGGCGAGGCCTGCCATGGAATTCAGCTCCTCAACACTTGCTGGTACATTGTATTGCTTTTTGTGGACGTTCCACAAGAGCCTTTGAGGTTCAATGCCCAGCGAGACTGTTTTTGGCAGCACATCCATTCCGGGACTTGAGGATTTGGTGTCAGCTTCAAGCACAGCCGAATGAGGTCGACCATTTCCGTGTATTCCCACTGGCATATGAGATTGCCCAGAACACCCCATCGCTCTTGATGGTGGACAATTGTAGGGGTATGGATGTACCGATAGCTGTGCGCTATGAAGCTCCTGACGAGACCTATCTCTTGACCTATGTGGCAACACAAAGTCTACAAGTTCATAATATCATACGATGGGTTGGTCTGCACGCTGACATTCATCATGAGTTGGAGGTTGAATGGAATGGTCTGCAGATCGACTATTTTCGTGTGGTGACATTCAGGCCTGGTGATCTACTGTTGATTCGTGCCTTGCCTTTTGGAATTGGAGGAGGGGCTACGCCTACGGGCTATTCGAGTGGATCTGTGCCTGGAAGTTCCCAAATCACATGGTCATCCCAGGAACGGTCGGGTGAAGGAAGCTTGCAACTACAGTTTCTGCAGAGTTTGGAGGAGGAGGATATTGCCTTTTTCCAGTACACGCCACCTGCCAGGACTCGAGTTGGTCGTTTCCGAGCGGCACCTTGGCCCCTTGACCCAGGGCCGACAGGTGCGGCATGGATTGCCAACACTCAGATGATTGGCTACGATGCCATTGAGGAGGAGATGAGTGCCTATGTGTGGGCGCGTGGACGATGGCCGGAACTCATCATTCATGTGGCGGGACTTCATGGCTACTTCACTGAACCAATGGGGAATGGGGGCATTAGTAGAGAGGAGATCATTGTGGCGGTTCGAAGGGCAACCCATGCCGTGCTGATGCCCATTGACCCGATGGTTTTTGGATACGTGGACCCGCAACCTACACCCTGGCAGACTTTTGACTATGATGAATTACACCTTCTTGCGGTCCCTCGTAGATTGGAAGTTCATGAGATTGCTGTTTTGATAGCTATCGAACGGCTCAGTGGGGGGGCGTTCGTATACTGATTTCAGACCTTCTGTCATCCACCGAAGACAGAACAAGTGGAGCCTGCTATCATTGGTGGGCTGGTGCTGATTGCCAAGGGCAGTTGACTTGTACTGTGCTTCTCAAAGCCACATTGCCGCTGGGTGATGAGTGGCTGGAACTTCAAGGATGGCAACGGATCGACATTGAAATCAAAGAAGATGAAGGAACGTGTGATGAACCACTTATTCGTGATCGAGTTGAACTCCCTCGCTATCATGAAGATGGTCAAGGACAGGATGATGTCACAGCCTTCTTACAGTGGTCGCGGGGAGAAGTGACAACATGGGGGATCCCTTTGGAGGAGGATTGTGATAGTGTCGATGAGGACATTGTGTCCTTTTCACGAGCTCCCTTGGACATCCCTGAGCTCCCGGAAAAAAGTCGCAGTTCTGGCTGACTGGGAAGTCACCCGTGTTTGGGCTGCGGCGGTGGATGCGGGCTTCCTTCGTCTCTTTCGAGCACCTGATGTACCAAGAACGCTTACTGTGTTCAACCTGTTCGACGACGAGGCATCCAGTGAACCTTCCTGGGTCCCTTGGCAGGAGGGCTTGAGCTTCAGTGAAGTGATTCGACAGGTTTGGCCAGAGCTGAGGGATGGAACATGGGATTTTCAGGCGTTCTGGCCTGATACCGCTTTGGCTGCACAACCACCAGGCTGTGTAGTGGTTATTGGACCACAAGAGAAGTTGCTCATGCATTCTCCGCTTCATTGTTGGTACATTGAAATCATCCTGCAATTGGAGGATCATTGTGCTAGCTATGTGAAGGCTGAGTTTACTCAACCCGAGCTTCTTATCAAAGATGTTTTGGCAAGGGCACCTGTCACAGCCCAAGCGCACAGCAGTGAAATGAGGATTGAACACAACGGCATCCTACTGCAGCCATACCACCGGGTCCATGTCCAGCACGGTGATGTTCTCACTTTTGTGGTGGGGCGAAGCGTGGCACAACGACTGGTGGGGGGAAGGTGGGACCCGAACTTGGATGAGCAGATTGCTGACCGCTTGATGGTTGCCTGGCAATATCATATGGTGGTACCAACATACATGAGAGAAGGAGAATACCTGTGCTTGAGGCCGGGTCGCAGGCCCCCAAGAGGTATGGGCATACTCCGGGGGGCAATCAACTTCTACCATGATGAAGGGTGGCTTCGGCGGCAGATGAAACGGCTTTGGGCTGACTTCCGAGAGGCACCTTTCACGCTGGCACAATTTCACCCTTCTGCATACTCATCATCACCTCTACTGCGGCGATTTGCTCTGCTTATAGTTGTGGATTTGGGGCAGCTGGGGGTCACTATGCCTGTGATCATGGAGACCAGTGACGGTGATTCCATACCTTTGATTGGCTCGCATGTTCTTGCATTCCGTGTGCGGCAATACATCTCAAAAGCACGCTTGCTCCATATTTGGAGGATTTGGAGAGAGGCTGAAGAGTTGCACGCGGTTGAATTGCTGCACAATGGAGATCGAGTGGAACATGATGAGGAATTCCTGGTTGCGGCTGGTGATTACTTCTTTGTGAGAGCCACTCCTCGCGAATGCAAGCGCCCGCGATTGGATCAGCAGTTGACTGCGATGAATCGGCATTTGACTGCAGGGAGGATGCTCATGCAAAGACAGATGGTTCGGAGGGAGGTGCTGGATGTCTTTGTGGTATATCAGCGCTATGCTCTTGCGCCATCCACCTTCCGATGTGGACCTGGGCATTGGTTTACGGGATTGAGAACTTGTGTCCTCGACCACCTTGCTACCATGTGGCTCGAGAATGACCGAACCAATGCTCTGATCCTTGAGGTGAAGCCGCAACCTCCAGGTCGCCTACATGGGAAGAAGATTGTCATCCTTGCTATGCCTGGTTCGTACTTCCCTACACAGAGTGTCATCCTTGTGGGGCTGCACTTTTCTGATGTCCAATATCGTCAGGGTTTGGTGGTTCCGCAGATTCTCACGAGGCTGCAGTTTCTGCAGGAGTTGGGATTGGTCAAGGAATGTGGACTGTACGGTGTTATGAGATGTCTCATTCATGTGGGATTTGCACCTTGGGAACAGCAGGATTCACATACTAGACTGATCGCACACGCCAGCTTTTTGCAGATCTGGGTGGATGGACGAGACCCTGGTGCATGTCAAGAGCACCCCAATGAAGACGACTCGGGTTTTGAGGAGGATGATGAACAATCCCCGCTCCAGATTGTCTGGCATGGTGTGGAGACACTTGGCATTGCCCAGCTTCCGCCCCCAGGCAATCCGGTGCGGTTTGATCCCCGGGTCAGTGTCCGTGAAGGAGGCAGCCAGTTTTGCTGCCGAGATCCACAATGCACCAATGACTTCTGGCTGGGGCTTGTGCAAGAGATGACTTGTAGTGACAACCCATTTGTGCAGGCCTTTCTGAAACAGGAGCTGGTGCAAACGTTAGAAGAGCATGAGGAGGTATTCCAGGTGA